TGCCATGATTAGAGCAAGTGCTACCGTGTCTCTTCATCTAACAAAGATTTACTAACATAATAGATAGGAGATTGTTTACCCTGCTCCTCTCGAACCAAAACCGCGCTTACCGCAACTTCTGAAACAGCAAGGTAGATGAAAAGTTTCTACCCAGCCTTGGGTTTTGCTAGCAAAGGTGGATTTGACAAGTATATTTTCAAATCCCTAAGTGCTTGTTGACACTCCTCATCCCATTCAAAATGATCCTACTTCTTAAGAGCCGAGAAGAATTTAAAACATTTTTCCGATGATTTAGAAATGAACCTTCCCAAAGCTGTGATTCTTCTTGTCAGTCTTTGAACCTCTTTCTTGTTGGAAAGTATATCCGTAATTTCTTCAATGGCCTTAATCTGCGCAGGATTCACTTCAATACCACGGTTAGAAACAAGAAAACCTAAAAAATTTCCTGATGCCACACCAAACGCACATTTTTCTGGATTCAATTATATTTTCGTAAAATTTTAAACGTGTCAGATAGGTGTGATATATGATCTTCTGAATGTTGGGTCTTAACTAGCATATCATCTATATATACTTCCATGGTTTTACCTAAATGTTCTTGAAACATTTGGGTGACCAACCTTTGATACGTTGCACCTGCATTCTTAAGACCGAAGGGCATTACCTTGTAACAGTAAGTCCCCCTGTCTGTTATAAAAGAAGTTTTTTCTTCATCTCCTGGATCCATCTTGATTTGATTATAGCCTGAATATGCATCTAAAAAACTTAATAGCTCATGCCCTGTAGTAGCGTCAATTAACTAATCGATGTGCGGTAAAGGAAAGGAATCTTTTGGACAGGCTTTATTAAGGTCTGTGTAATCTACACAGACTCGCCACTTACCGTTCTTCTTAGGAACCACAACAGTATTAGCTAACCAGTAAGGATATTTTACCTCACGAATTGAACCAATTTTTAGCAACTTTTGAACTTCCTCTTGAATCACCTTATTTTTGAAAGTTCCTTGTTTTCTTTTCTTCTGCTTGACGGGAGGATATGATGGATCTTCATTTAACTTATGAGTCGTGACTTCCGGTGGTATCCCTGTCATGTCAGAATGGGACCAAGCAAAACAGTCTGCATTAGCTTTTAAAAATTCAATCAATTTACGTTTTACCTCCGGGCTAAGATTAGCTCCTATGTACACTTTTCTCTCGGGCCAATGTACAAATAACACCACGGCTTCTAGCTCTTCTATCGTTGTTTTGATGTTCTCATTCTCCTCCGGTTCTTGAATGGTATCAGGTCTTGAATCCAGATCTGTTTGCTTTTGCTCAGGTGAGGTTGACTCCGTGTTACCCTCACCTAAATTCTGTAATTGCTATTTGTCTTCACCTTTAACAGTTGAATCTGCAACGGAATTGATGCTTCTAGATGTTTGTTGATCGCCTCTGATTTGGCATATTCCCCATGGAGATGGGAATTTAATAACTTGATGTAAAGTTGAAGGAACAGCTTCCATGTCATGAATNAGCTCCCGAGTGTGCTTTGATAAATAAATCTGCAAGCTCAGCAAACGAATTTATAGAATTTTCGGGTAAAAGAGAATACCATGTTAAGGCTCCTTTAGTGAGTGTTTCACCGAATTTTTTGACCAAGACCGAGTCAATCTCTTGCTTAGTCAAATCATTGCCCTTGACACCTGTTGTGAATGCAGTAACGTGATCTCATGGATCTGATGTACCATCATACTTTGGAATATCAGGCTTCTTAAACTTCTTTGGAATTGGGAGGGGAGCAGCACTTGGCTTCCATGGTTGTTGGGAATATTTATCTATATCCACTCCCTTGATCACGGGCGGTACTCCAGGTATTTGCTCTATGCGTTCATTTTGCTCCCTAAGCCGTTTCTGCAAGGTTAGTACTAGATTTTGTAAATCAGAGTTAACTGGATTACCTGGGTCTCTCTCTTGTGTTTCACTAGGGGTTCTACCGCTGCCTGAATTAACCAATACTGAACGAGGATTCTCCAAAGTGTTATTGTTTGGAGTAGATGTGGGTGGAACAGCAGGTAATTGGCTAACAAAAGCTTGAAGAGCGTTATTGACTTGAGAGGCAATAAGTTTTTGCAAAGCCTCATTCATGGTTTCAACATTTTCGAATTGAGCCTGTCCATCTGTGTGAGATCCATCAGGAGTGCCTTCACGAGACCGTCGTGGGGAGCCTCGTGGAGAACCTTGTGGAGAGCCTCGTGGGGAATCTCCCTGAAGTTGTTGGATTGTCTGAATTTCTGGGTTTCCTTGAGTGTTGTCATTGTTGTTTGACATGATTGATGTAATCAAGAAAATTAGGTTGAGATATGCTTGATTATCAGATTCCCCGTAATGGAACCAATTTGTTTAAACAAAAATTAGATTTTAGGTCAAAGTTTGAATTTAGAAGAACTCGAGTTACTGATAATCGGAAAAGTATATAAGAAAGATATTTTGAATAATATAATCAGAAAGCAAATAAAACAAAGTATATTCCAGTCGTGTTTTTCGTGTCCTTACAGTTGTTTGTGACTTTCCTTTTTATAGCTGTTTTGGGAATACAGACTTTCTCTTTGTCATAATAAGACAATTATGGGTAATTTAATGACCTTAAATGTTACGTGATGCAATCATATGCATTAAATACATATTCTCTAACGTTTCTAGTATTTAATACTCATTAAATGCTGTATCTGGGCTCTTTTTTGCTGTCAGATTCATTCCTTTGTCTCTTCTCGATCTTTGACCTTTGAATGTCTTGAATAGGTATGAACGTTGAATTATTTGTATGACTGCTCGTGCCTTCTTCATTTAACTTGCTCGTATCTATTGTTGCTCGTGTCTGTTAACCAACCTTAATTCTTTGACTGCTTGATCAGTCTACGTGCCATGACACGTCACCATATATATAAATACAATCTTTCCCAATACAATATGTTATTAGCCTACAGAATCATTCATAGCAATCAAGTAGCTCGTATTGTAATCATTACTTACGGCGACATGGTGTAATCATAACTTGTGCTAGTTGAGAAGCAATTAGGAATATTCATATTCCATTAGCATATGCAGTTTCTACTCAAATTCTATAATACGCATGTGCAGAAATTTTTTATTTTGTGTGTCACCCAACTGACACTAATTGTGTGAGACTTTTTTTTTGTCTCACAGTTTTATAAACTCAGAATTTTATGGACCCAAAAATATAAAATATGAATCGAAACATTTGTGAGATGAAAAGAAGCCTCACACAACTAGGCATACTATAAAACTTCTTGTAATTCTTCAAAGAAAGAATTACAAGAAAATACACATGACTTCACACTATAACAAAAAATGGCTCATATTTTTAAGTTTTACGCGACCTAGCCCACGTTGTACATTTTTTAAAGCACTAGCAAATTCAAAATTTGTGCTTATAACCATTGCTTCTAAAAGCTATGGAGTTAAATCTGTGTTCTCACAACCATTGCTTTCACTCTCTCTTCTTCTCACATCTTCTACATATGCTTCAAGGGGGCGTATATCTTTTGCTTCTCCTCTTGTGTCACCTGCTTGCAATGTAAGAAAATTAAAGAGTAGAAGTCCCCCATTGAAGACCAATCAAAGCTTTGCTTTTGAAAATGAGTTTTTTTTTGAATTTGTTAGTTGTTTGAATTGGGCGTTGTTCCAATTGATTGAAAATATCAAAAGGAGTTCAAACTTTAAATTTGAAGTGAACTGGAGTAGACTTGAGCAAGACTTGAGTTAAATTACAGAAAAGACGCAAGGAAGAAGACGAAGTCAATTTTTTGTATAATTATGTATAATGTTGTATAATAGTATATATGAGTGTAGAGACACACCTTATACACTATTATACACTATTATACACCTTTATACAAGCGTTTGTAGACGAACTTCTTCCACGATTTTCAGTTGCAATTCTTGTTCAAAACCAGTCCAAATCTCCATTAAATGACTTCAAATTTTATATACAACCTCCTTATACTATTTCTAACAAGTCTAAATAACACGCACTCCAAATTTCTCACAAAATCAAATTCGGAATTTAAACCCACATATTTAAGCTTATTAAAAATCTAATTTTCACCACCCAAATAAATTTGGTTTGTTGAACTAATATTTGAGTCATAGTTACTAATTCAAAAATTAATTTAAAAGCTTGAGGAGTCTTTTTTAAAAATTAAATAGTAATTTTGAGAACCTATTAGAGTTGGATGTTGAATCTTAGCCTATTATTTTTGTGCTAATTGATTGTAATTTAAAATATGTGCTATAAAATTGAAAAGTATGGAACCCTGTTGTTCTAAGGTGAAATTTTCCCTTCTTCAAATGGTAATTTAAATGCCAATGACTTAATATTTTCTAGTAATCACTCATATGCAGATAATTGTTAGTTTGAGAAGTTTACTCTACGTTTTATGTGAATGGCATGTTGGGTTTTTTGGCTAAAAATAGTGTGAACGGGAAATGGAGAGAAAAATAAAATTTTGAATTTTCCTCATTTACAAAAGAACACTGTCGCATATTGGAAGAGCAAAGATATTTGGAGGGTTTATATACAATTGCAATTTTTTTAGCTCCTAATGAGTTGAGAAGAAGGCAAGTCTCGCACCCTCGTCATTGCTTGCTCGAATTTGGCTTCGGAGGCTTTGGTCAGATGATCTGATTAATTGATGATAATATTTATTGTTAAAATTAATGTTTTATTAATAATTAATGACCGTTTTTATAACGATAATTTACTTTTACCTCCGATTTTATTTTTTCATTGTATTTTGTGTAAATAGCCATTTTCATAATAGCCGTTTGTCACCTGAAAGCGTTGAAACCTTTTTGCTTGAACCCATATTCCTATTGGCTATAAATACATGGCTATTCCTTCAGATTTTCCTGATGAAAATTCTGAATTCTCTTCTCCATTTCTACTTAGTTTTTGTTTCCGGACTATATTTTCGAATACCGAAAGATAACATGGCACGGGAGTAATATAATTTGAGACATATTAACCTTGCAATTAGCACCGAACATACATTTATTCATTATAAAATAAGTAGAAGACTCAATTGTTTTTTCTCTCTAGACATAATGGAAAATCAGAGGTCAAAGCACAAGGCTGGTCTCTTGTTAGACGAAGCTTAACTAGTCCGTCAAGTACCTGCATACCAAACAACAAAGAACACACGTAAGTTATACGTACAAAATAAAGCTATAATTAATTGAGATTATTGGTAAATATATACAATATTGGACAAAAAATTAAAGATAATCACACCTAATGGCACAAGGATAGAACAAGCGAAAGTCGTTTGGAATGAGACAAAATATAAAACAACAACAAACATAGTGTAGTCCCACAAAGCGGGGTCTGAGGAAGGTAGTGTGTATGAGGCTTTACCCCCAAGGGCGGATCCAACTCTCCACCTATGGGTTCACGTGAACCCAATAGATTTTATCCAAACAGTGTAAATGTGTTCGAAAAATTTACTAAATATGTATAAATATTTGAACGTGAACCAAGTTACTATTGAAAATGTACTCGAGGTCATTACAGAAACTCATAAACATTAAATCCTGGATCCGCTTCTACTTACCCCTACCTCATAAAAGTAGAGAGATTATTTCCGATAGACTCTCGGCTCAAGAAAAGATGAAAAGGAAGAAGTAACAACAAGCAGTGCCGGCCTGATAGGGAGGCCACTAAAGCAATTGCTTTAAGCCTCCCAAAGTTGAAGGCCCAAAATTATTTATTTTTATATATTATTACATATTAAAAAGTTATTTAATAAAGAGATCAAATTTTATACTTTATTTTTTAAAATGTGATAGAGGTCATTCAGAAAAAAAAAATATGAGAAACATGTAATATATGAAAATGAATAACTTCATGACGACTTTGACAATTAAAAAAATAAAGTTTCTTTTGGAGATGAGTATTTCTTATAAAGAGTAAATAAATCTATTTTTCACTTCAAAATAGACTTGAGTTATTCCAAATATAGAAAATTATTTTGGTATCTACTTAGTGGTACAAAATTGAGATTATTACATTATGAGAATTTATAAAATACAATCTTAACTATCAATATATGTTTATTGAGGTTGAGTTACAAAGTATCTCTAGTGGTAGGAGCTAACAGGTAATTGAGTGAATGATCAAAATACTTACAAAAGGATTCATGCGCAATCACTACAAAAACAAAATAAAAAAAAAATATTATTTAATAAATTTAAAGCCTCTTATTAAGGTTTGGTTTTAGGCCACAATTTTTGTTGTGCTGCCTTTGACAACACGTTGTAACAACAACAAGATAAGATAATAAAATCACCGAAGCGAAAGAAATAACCTATATAGTAATAGAATTCTGCGGATAAGAAAATATATAATGTAACTCACTCAACGTTGTGTAATTACACCACATTTGAAGAGATCATCCACAAAATTCCGTCCAAGCAACGAGTTCCATGCTAGATCCAGAGCATTGAGTGCTTTACAACAACTTTGATTTTCAACATCAGCACTATTGCAGTGAGTTAGAGCTGCATGAAATTTGCCAATATTGCTCTCTGCATTCAAGGTGCCAATACTGCCGTACCCTACCTGTGCAAAGGCTCCTTGAACACTAAAAACTACAACAACACTAATTACCAACAAAATAGCTAAGCTCAAAACCCTAATATTTCTGCTACTATGTGCCATCTCTTCTTAACTAAACTTTTTCTCTACGGTTTAAGTCTTAAGTTCATAATATGAGTAGTATATATAATCAGATTATGAGTTATAAGAAAGAGGAGAGTTGAAGATGAAATGAGGTCGCAATTAACGCATGCATAGATCTCGAGAGGGTTGGCAGAATGGCAATTTAATCTTTTGTATATTGGTTAAAGAACGATGCAGTTTCAGAATGGTGCAGGAAAAACTTAGCGAGTTTAGAGTTTTAAAATGGAAAATATGAGTGGGTTTTCGTGTAGATTCATCCTAATTAATTCAGGATTTAATTTATCTGTGTGTACCGACAATTTAAGGATTTATACCTCTGCTAGGGTGCCAATTTATTTACTAAAACTGCCAAATTAAGCTAAACATGTTAATAATAGTAAGTCGGGTTATTTTTCACCAATTACTGATCCATTATTATTAAGATTAATAAGAACCGCTGTCGTCAGTTTAGACATCTTTCGTTTTACATTCTCTCCAACCAGAATTTGCGTGGATCTAAGCTGGACCAAATTTAAGGTAGTGATACTGTTAGGATCGAAATAATCAGGTGTATACGTAAGCTAATAAAGTAATACTTGAACGAAGATTAATCAGACAACATAAGAGAAATATACCAAAAGAGACACAAATATTTAACATGGCTCGGTCAGTTGACCTACGTCCATGTTGAGTTGTCCCACATCGGAGGGATTTGAGGTCCTTGGTCTCCTTATATGGCTTGGGCAATCCTCACCTCATAAGCTAGCTTTTGGGGTTGAGTTAGGCCCAAGTTCCATTCTTATTATGGTATCAGAGCCAGGCCCATCCCAATTATTGTTACCGATGTTGGTCCCCCATTTATGTTGTCCACACTCCAGAGGCCTGGGCGTGAGGGGGGTGTTGAGTTGTCCCACATCGGAGGGATTTGAGGTCCTTATTCTCCTTATATGACTCGGGCAATCCTCACCTCATAAGCTAGCTTTTGGGGTTGAGTTAGGCCCAAGGTCCATTCTTATCATGGGCGGAGATGAGCAATCCACTATATAAAAAGAGTACAAAATATAGAGAGAACAACCTCACAAAGAGGCAAACACAAGTGACACACTCACACTTGCCCCAAAAAGTTCTCCCTCTAAACAAGACCCTCAAACCCCATATGGCTACATTGTGAATGTTGTTGTCACGACCCAAACCGATGGGCCGCGACGGGCACCCGGTACCTTACTCAACCGAGTACTAACATAACATATCTTTTCATGTCATACTATCATAAATAGCTGAGCCGGAGAGGCTGCCGTGAAATAGGTAGAATACAACAGGTAATGGCAAGTTTTACATAAGCCATATGGGCCTTTAAGACCAAAATAACCACCTGAACATTGAACATAGGCCGACAAGGCCATACAATCTTTTACGTACATGACATCTGTCTACAAGCCTCTAAGAATACATAATTTTCATAAAGGCCGGGACAGAGTCCCGCCATACCAAATAATACACATCTAACTCATACTAACCAGACAAGTAACTCCGAAGCAAATGGAGCGCACCAACATCTTCCACTGAGCTGATAGCCTACTTGGAGGGCTCTCGACCTGTCTATCGGGACCTGCAGGCATGAAACGCAGCGTCCCCAGGCAAAAAGGGACGTCAGTACGAATAATGTATTTAGTATGTAAGGCATATAAGTACATAATATACATGGAGGAAATATAGAGTAAATGACTCCACCTGTAAGTCTGAATAACTTTGTAAATCATGAAACAATTTTAGTATCATGCATATGCGTATAAATATCATGTCATGCATAGATACGTGTTTCATAACATTATCAGCCTATGAGGGCCTCCCATCATATCATCTTGGTCACTGTAGGCAAAATCATCAACGTATACCAGATGATCAGGTGGTGGTGCGTATATAATGCCATAACCTTTCCCATATCCCATATACATATATATATACGCGTATATAACGCCATCTGGCACGGGTCAATGTACATGAATGCAATGCATGAAAAGTACATTAATAAAATCTTTCGAGATGTCACAAGACCATTTTGCCTTTGAGTAATATCATAAAGTAAACTCTTTTCAACTTTCGTATTTTTCTGAGACCCATGAACAGATGATAAAATATTATAACACATGAAAATTCAAGAACATAGATATCTCTAATACTTCCATGAATAGAGTAATTTATGGAAATTTGTACATTTGCACATTTCGTTTGTATCGTATAGATCATGCCAAAAGAAAGAAGGAATAGGTCTTAACATACCTATTCCTTGAATTATTTGCACGAAATAAAACTTCTGCTTTTGTGAGATATGAACGAAATTCTTGTTTGAATTCTATGAAACTTGAATAAAATTTGCTTCTGTTGAAGCTTTAAAATGCTTCTGCCTCACGTCCTTGGTTCTAAGCCAAGACAGATTATTGTTTTGAAGCTTTTTACCAAGAATTCCTACTAAATCCCATGGATAAGATCTACAAGTCTTCTTATTAAGACTTGAGTCATGGTTTGGTTACTACATAGTAGCCATCTGGCAAAGTGACTAAGAGTCATCTTTTGCCTATTGTGGCTTTATGCCACATGGAAGGGTGGGTGAAGATTATTAATCTTTTCCCACTTATTAGTTAACTGGGTAATGTCCCGTTACCAGGTAATTAAGTAATTACCCGCATAATTTAAAAATTATCTCAACTTAATTAAATACTGCTCTCTTTTAATATACCTTGTACACCTTATGGTCATGTAGTACCTTATATGACACTAGTCCATAAATATCGGGTATTTTAGCTCGGGCCATATTTTATCCCAAAATGCCAAATTTCAACGAAATTCATTTTCTTCGACTTGCTTCCCCTCTCACCTTCACGAATTTACTAATCACTAGTGAAATAGCATAACCCTTATAATCTCCAAATAATCTTTTACTTGGACTGATGTCAATTACCTTACGACAAATTCAACGTACAATACTTCAAGGTGCAACATCGTCGTAACTTAATACTGTGAAGCGTAACATCACCATAACGTAATACTGCTGGGTGCAACACTGTCGTAACTTAATACTGCGAAGCGTGACATCACCATAATGTAATACTGCAAGGCATTACATCATCGTAATATAATACTGCAGGACGTAACATCATCGTAATATATTACAGCAGAGCATAACATCGTCGTAATATAATACTGCAGGACGTAATATCAACGTAATATTGCGGAGCGTAACATCATTCCTCCCTTTGGAACATTCGTCCTCGAATGTTGACTAATGCTCTTATCATTTTCATGACTTATATCTTCCGAATACTTTAGAACTTCCCTTGCCATCTAGGCGACTGTTCTGTGAATAAGTCCAAAGTCCAGGGCATTCCCCCCTTAGGCCTCCTTCTCACCCAACAACTTGTAGTCGGAATCCTTCCAATCTCGTAACTGTTGCTACCTTTCATCATGCAGCCTGTACGATTTTGACCTTGTAAGTGTGCTCAATCTCTAGGCTTCATATGTAGAGCTTGATAAGATGTCCCTTTGGGCATCTATGAGTATACTGAAGTTCTTCGCTCGGTACTTTGTTGAATTCACGAATATTTCTATATCTTATCGCATAGGTCCGTTTAGCCATCCGTATGAATTTATTGCCATAACTCTTACTTTAATTTATCGTTGCTGAGGTCTGCTACCAAATCCCAGCTTACTCTCGTTGCTTATTCCATATGTATAAATTTAGTCCTTTAATGCTTCCTCATTACTGCTCATCTTTAGAATGACGGTCTAATCTCATCTCATACTTTGTGACTTTTGTCCATCCATTGTTGATTCACCTCAATATTGATCTATAATATACCACTGATAACTTGAAACTTCTTACGCAATACTTTTCCACTAGGGCTTACGTTACATCAAGAAATATTCGAAGTAATTTTCCTGATCCACTTAGCGGCGATACTGTACTGCAATAACCGTATTCTATAGCATCCCAAGGTGATTCTCTTATGTGGGTATTTTAATCCCGTACAATTTATGAATCCCTTTTCTTTTACTTTTTTTTCAAATCATTACTCAATTGAAGGCCCAAACGTTACCCTTTATCTATCACAATTACACCCTTATTCTACTATTAGGGAAGCATTCCATCTCTTCTAAATGCTACTTATGAAGAGTAACTCCTTTGAGTCCATTCAGGCTATACTGAGCTTACTATAACATAGAGAAGCCATTATCTCCCTTGTTTTCATGGGTCTAATCCTGAGGACTAATCCATTCTCGTCACCTTCTCACTGCCCTTTCTTATCCATATTCCTGTCTTCCTAAAACCTTGTCGCTTTACCATACTTTAGCTTGCGACCTATACATATCTATTTATACTACTTGTAATCTTCCTTCAACTTGCTTGAATTTCCTTGTGTTATTTTAGAACATCAGGCGAGACATCACATTGTCTCTAACTCTTCTTTACTTTCTTAATTAGACCTCTCGATACCTAGAAATTATTGACTAGAAGATATGCCACTGACGATGCCGCTATCATTCTTGGATATTGAATCCTCGTGCTTCTGGCCCTTTTATCCGAAGTATGGACTATTTACGATCTTCTGCCTTTGAGTATCTCGTACATTGTTCACCTTTACCTTACTTACCTTAAAATCTCGCATCGTATCTTCTATCTCTCTCATGACCTCCCTTCCACCTAGGTGTAATTCACGTCCATAACTTGAAGCTCTATTATAATACTTGCACCTCTGGTGCATACACAATCCCGTGGGAGTTTCATACTGACTTCTTATGAGACTGGTACCCTTCTAACTGGCTTTATCGTATAGCTCTTATAGAACATAGTTGTTGTGCTATCTTGCACCTCTAATATTGAGAGTGATTCTACTATGTTCTCAATCATGATTCCTACAACTTCTGGGTCCAATAATCAAATTCCTGATTTACTTTGTTGATGTAACTCTTTAGTTTCCTTCTTCTTTTGATCGGCCTTTATGTTGGCTTAAGTTATCTTCCAATCTGCGGCTCATGGTATTAGTTACTACTTTAGCCCTCCATGGACGCTATGGAATATCCATGATACAATCTTCTAACAATTCATTCCTTTGTCTATGATTTGGGCTCAATTCTTTCTTTTAACTTATACCGG